ATGAAATTATATTTTTTTTTCAATTTCATTCTCATTCAACCTTTTAATTTGTAAATTTTTTTTCTTATTATTTTAATAAAATTAAAAAAAAATATTAATAAATTATTTTTCTGTTTATTTTCCATAACAATATTAAATAAAAATTTATTTTTTCATTTATTTTATAAAAAAAAAATAATTTTTCTACAAACAAACGGAGCCTATATCTCTTTACACTTTTCTGTTTGGTCCCTGGGAAAATTAAGCAAAGAAAGCCCTTTTCTCTTTTGTTTAGTATATAAAGCTATCAACTTTATATCTGTTGAGCTCCATTTAAGTGCTAAGCCTGTTAAACTAGAGATTAAATTTGTGTTTTTCTGGTCTTTCTGTGTGAATTGAACTTAAAGTTGTGAACTTTGTGCTGTCATTGATAATTTATTCTATAATTACTGTGAACCCAGTCGTGAAGATGCAAGTTTCTATTGTTTTGTTCTCTAGTGCATTTAACATACAGTAATTTATCAGTAGCTTATATCGATATGGGAAGTAGCCCTTTGGTTAATCTTTTAGGCCATGTTCAGGGTTTCGTTTGTTGTCATAATATGAAAGATACAGGGAGATGGGATTGGGAAGTCAGGTGCCATTTTTTGGTGCAAACTGAATGTTTTGTAAGTCAAATACAAATATTAGATTTGGAGTAATTAAAATCGCCAATTCAGTATAGGATTTAACTTAGTGCTGTCTTGGGTCCTAGCCATGTGTGCGAGTGAATTATGCATGCGGTGATTTGGTGGCACACTATGCATGATTCGCCTGAATGGCTAGAATTCTAGGCTGAATGAGCATAGCCCAGGATGTTCTAAAGGGTGGTTGGGACTTTATTGGAATCCCCACCCCACCCCACCCCACCCCACCTCCAAGTTCCTGCTTATTTGTAACTGGAATTGAGTATCAAATATGCTTCCATGAAGATTTAGAATGCTCGTGGTTAACGTTTGTATGCCTAAACAATTTGTTTTTGGTGATTATGAATATTGAAATTTTTTTAAAAGGGGTCAAACATGAAACCCTCTGATTTATTCATGGTTTGATGTCAGCTAAATGAACATAGCTCCTTGAAGCAATTTTAGAATCAATAACCACGCCAATCTTTAGAATATATATAGCGTTTATTCGGCAGCGCTTCAAGGTTTAAGGACAACCACTGCCGATTTCTATTGGCCAATTCTATGCACCACAAGTACAAATATGTACAAGGGTAGTGAGGGTGTGTGCATCACAAGGTATGCAAGAAACACAGACGACTCTGCATTAAACAAATTGAAGGAACTTACTGTTGTTGTTCGACCTTTTTTTGATGATATTACCATTGGATGATTATGCTCCCTCATGAACTTTGTCACCACCCATTTCTCTAGCTTTTCTCTCTTCACCAATATCATTGCCATACAACTCTCCCGTTTGCCTTCTCTTTTTCTAATTTTAACTTGCCCTGTCTTTTGGCTGCTGAGATTAAACCCTTCTTTATTACAAGCAAGTCGGCGAGATATAGCTGTTCCATCATGCTCAGACTTACGGGATGATACAATAGGTGTAAGAAATCTTTCCCGTTTAGCATATTCATCATAGAAAACTCTGGCAGCATTTTCCGATTCAAATACCATACTTCATATGGTTCTTGGCTAGTGTCGACTTCACAAACACCAGTTTCATCTCCCACAATACTTTCTGTTGTCACAATGTTGGTCTTCCACGAGGGTCTCAATCTCCACTGCAAGTCAATGTCACCAGTTACAATTTATGTTTAACATCACGAGAGGAAATCCTATAAGCTGAAAACTGTAATAACTGCATGAAGGAGATAGCACAGGCAGCAAACTGGCAAGTAGTCTCAAGATGTGCATACCATAGAAAAGTAGAAAAGTTTGCACTTCCATGCCTATTTATTGCAACAACATGCTTCTTAACATCAAGTGCTGATACATTGTGTATCAGAGTAATGCTAAGCTATAAAGTCCAATATACGTCTCATTTATTCTATAAATTCCTATATACCTCTCATTTATTCTTATACACATTGTCTTATCAGCAATAGCTGTTCGAGGATTGTATTGGTATTGCTGGTAGTTGTTACTATCTAAGTTCTAAACCGATTTTTGTTATCTTGTCATGATGAAAAGGATGAGAGAATTCGAGAGCTATCCTCCCAGTTGCATCATACGAACCGACAGTTAGCAGCATGCCGAGAACAGTTGCAAACATTTGTGACTTACATTGAGGAGCACACTATGTGCATGTTAAGAACACTCGAAGGTGTTGTTCAAAACATTAGAGAAGTTGAATCTGAAACCAGAAGCTGCTCCTAGGTTACTCATAGGACCTGGCATTACGTTGTAAATCTTGTACAAATTTCAACTCTTGTTAGTAGGTGAAGTTTCATCAAAATTCCTTCCATTTGTATAATCCTGTTGCAAATTATTTCGAGGCCTTGTAATCATCCGCTTGACCTAATCTCAGTTTTGTAAGTAAACTAATGATATTTCATGTATAATATTTGGCTGCGTTGATCAAGTAGCAGAAGCCATATTACCTTAGATTACAGCTAGCTTTACTTGCAACCATGGATACCCTTGGCTCCCTTGCAGTCCCACACCAATTGTGAACGCAACAATCAAGGACTTGAAAGAGTACCAAGAAAACGTTGAGATTGGGTTTAAGGATGTTTTTACTTTTAGAACAATTAATTCAGACAATTCTTGTGAAAATGCCAATTGCCTAACCATCATAAAATCCTCGTGAGGAGTTGATAGCATTTGTTTATTGTGAGTATTGCATTAATTTATGTTTATATCTTTAATGTATTATCTAATATCCTTTCCCTTCTTCCATGGTATTACCTTTATTATATTTTTAGTAGATAATAATTGAGTCATTGGAGGAAATTAATAGATTAAAAATATGGATTGATTACTACTATATTATTATTCAATGGAATTGTGCAAAATTAAGTGGATTTTCATACTTTACTTTTGTTTTTTTGGTATTTCATATCTAATTTGCTAAAAAAAAAAAACACCAATCTTCTGATATTAATCATGATTAGCTCAAAAACATGGTGAAGATAAAATAATAAGGAATTGAAACAATAAAAATAGAAAAAAAAATTAACACAATCACATACTTGTAACCAACACAACCATCCAAAATAAACTTCTTTATTCTATTTGAAAGAGATTCATCACCGTCATTTTATTTTATTTTTAATAATAGCAAAATTAGTTTTTATATCTTCATTAACTAAAGTATAATGCACTAAGCTCTTTTGTTATTTTTACTAGCAAAGGATTTTCTATATTAAATATAGTTAATACTTTCTTGAATTGATTTTGTTTCATTAATTTCCTTGTTCTTTGCTACACACTTTTTGTGTTATTCCTTTAATCATATAACAAGATAGAGGCTTTTTTTTACAACATTTTACAAAAATATATTAATTTAAAGTCTTATATAAATTAAAATTTATTATTAAATAATATTACAAAATAAAATGAATTGATAGATTTTTTTTTTTTAACAATGAAAATGACTTTGAGTAGTAAAAGCTTTTTCATAAAAGCTCAAGTATTAAAGATATAGTTATTAAATTTTATCTATTTTAGCATATCAATTTAATAATTCACCAATTTAGAGGTTAGTTGAGTTAGATTTTTTTTTAATTGTTTTAAAAAATAACTCCATTAAATTTTAATAATTTAGTAGATTGACTCAAGTTAAATCCAACTAGGTTAACTCTAAGAAATTTTTTATTAAAACAGAATTATTTTAATTTTATTCAAATTAATGTTATTTTTATTAAAACAGAATTATTTTAATTTTATTAAAATTAATGTTATTTTAGTTTTTTAAAAAAATTAAAATAATATTATTTTAAAATAGATTTAAGTTAACCTATTAATCCATAATTTTAGCCTCAAAATGAGTTTGATATTAAATTTTATACCATAAATATGATCTAAAGAGATGATATCTATAGAAAAGTAAGTGAGCCAATATTAAAATGGATATGCAAACAAATAAAATATTATCTACCAAAAAATAAATATTTTCTTACAAAGAAAATATAAATACCGCAACAAAACAAAATTACAGAGAGCAACATTTCCGTTGCTGCAAGGGGACCAAAGACTAGTTCTTCCAAAAGACGACATGTCACATGCATTTGATAGTATTGGAAAACAAGAGTTCCCACTTTCCAACCAGCAGCTGACAACTAGACTGCATGTCGTTTCCTGAAACTGAACTTTCCTCTCTATTTCCTTCTGTGCCATGCTTCTTTCAACACAGCTTGAAACTGTTGACTGGCTTCCAGATAAGAGAGGGAAGAGAAAATGAGCTGAGAAAGTTGTCTGAAATACAACCAAAGGTTGGAGAGTTTTGGGTTGGGATTCTTTGATAAAACCAAAGGTTAGTGTTTTCCACACTCTCTCTCTCTCTCTGACATACACTTGATAACTACACATACAATGACACGCTAAAGATGTAATCTTTTTGAAATTTCTTGATGGGTTTTGTTTCTTGTCTTCCTTTTTTTGTTTCTTTATTGTGTTGAACTGCTGGAGATGGATTGAGGAAGTGGAAGAAGCTGAAATGCTTTTCAAATTCTTATCTTTGAAATGGTGCTTCTTTGACTGCGAGGATTTTGCTAATGGAATGAAATTTGTTTCTTTTGGTGATCTAAACCTGGTAAATGAGAATGCCATGTTGTTAATCAAATTGAATTGAATATATGAAACTATGAAACCCCATGAGCTTAAAATTTAGGACCCTGGTCAAGATTCTGTAGACCCTAGTTCATCAACCAAGATTTGGTCAAGATTTCTTTGAAATGGAGCTGAGCATTGCTTGTTTTCTGTTTCAACAATACTTGTTTTCTTCATTGGCTTCCTAGTCTATATACTTCTCTTTCGCTATCCTGACACTGTTGAGGCACCTTCTCGTGGTCTCCATGTGCTGTAATCTTCTTGTTTCTTGCCTGAATGGGAAATTTGATGATGATGCCTTCTTCTTTTTGTCCTTAGAATAGTAGTAGATGGCTGTGTCTCAATGGAGACCTGTATACATATAGATCCAACTGAAATCACCAAGGTCTAATCCACTTAATTATTGACTGGAGTGGTCTGAGCAGAGAAATATGCCATGCGAGTGTGCCTTGCATGATCGTCATGGTCAGGCATTGTTTTGCACTTGAAACTATGGGGGAAATCTAGACTTGGGGTGCAGAAAAAACATTTAGTACAATACCTGCTTTCGCTTCTTCAATGCTTTTGGGTTTTGACATCTAAATTTATGACAGGTTCATGATGGCAAGCACCTCTGGTGAACAATTTAATTCTAACAGAAATTATAGATGTTGGCTGGCTGAAACTTTTGATAACCAAGAAACAGCAGATGATGAATTAGCTGGTAATCTTGATGGAAATGATAACATAATTCAGCAATCTATTCAAGATTTTCCAGTAAATTTGGAGCCGTTTGAACCATTTATCGGAATGGAGTTTGAATCAGCAGAGGATGCTAGGGAATTTTATGAGTTGTATGGCAGGCGAATGGGCTTTACCATTCGTAACAATCGTACACGTAGGTCACTTAAAGATAACTCAATAATTGGTCGAGAGTTTGTTTGCTCAAAAGAAGGCTTTCGTGGAGGAAAGAGTCCAAAGGGAGAAAACAGAGTTTTTCAATCGCGGCCAATCACAAGGGAGGGATGCAATGCAATGTTGAGGATAGCTGCAAAGGATGGAGGAAAATGGGTTATTTATGGTTTCATAAAAGAACACAATCATGATCTTAATCCTAGTAAAATACCACCTCGCCGCTCACACAGGATTGCATTTAGTGAGGTATGTTTCAGGATTAGTTTTGTGTGGTATGGTTGTTATCACGCGCATTTCAATTTTAGATCTTCATTAATTTAACTGTTCCTGTCATCTCTTCCAAAAGCTTGTATTTGCATGACATGAAATAACTGTTCTCTTGTTGCAGGATGAGAAAGATCTCAAAATCCGAGAGCTATCCACCAAGCTGCATCGTGAGAAAAAGAAATCTGCTGCTTATCAAAAGCAGCTACTGATGGTTTTAACATATATCGAGGAGCACACACAACGTTTATCACTTAAGGCTGAAGTTGTGGCTAACAAAGTGAAAGAACTTGAGTCTGAAGAGCCAGAAGAACCAGATTCTGACTAAGAGTGTAGCTGAAGATTTTATGTTAGCATCTGTAGTCAACTAATTCTGGTTTTGCTGGACAAGATACAAATGGATAAACTCATTTTAGAACTTTACATTCACAAAGATAACTGTTGCTACGTGCCAGATGCTCCATCCCATCTGAACTTTGTAACCGAAATATAAGTTAACAACTGCAAGGTTCGATAGGATTCGTAAAGAAAGGCTGGTTTTAGGAACTGCTGTATTGAGATTACAAGCTCAAACATGACAAATTTGTAACAGCTTTGAATGATTTAGGGGAACCGTGTATAAATTATATGCAGATCACTGATCCAGAAGTCAAAATTCAACTTTGGACCATGAGTTTCCATTGCAATCATCTATCTTGGGTCCAAGATATGAATCTGATTATGATATATGAGCTGGAGAATTTAAGCAAATGTTTCTCTCCATGGAGATTTAACCAAGTATTTTACCTAGTCAGAACTGTATAACACCTGACACTGTTAATTTTTGGTCAGTGGAAAACGGGAAGAAATTTTAAAATCCAAATATGCTAAGAATCTTGTCATATGAAATCCAGAACAAATTAACCTATTAACGGTCCATACATTTTCAATATGCTTCACCAAGAAGTTTCAAATCATTTGGTTTCAAATTGAAGTCAAGTCCTCCCCTTTAAAATGCAGAACTTAGTAGGAGCAGGCTGATAGGGAAAGCAGAATTAACCAAACCCCTGAGAGTCAGCTTGGGATAATTAGCTTGGTTTCAAACTTTTCCTTAAATGCACCAATTGTACATGGAAGGTTTAACTCCCGGTTATAAAACGTATGGTTAACCGATGACTTGCTGACTAGGGCTAAGTTGATGGAAAAACTGAGTTTTTTTTCCTCTTCAAAACAACCTTATTTTCGAGTTATCTTTAAAAAATACCTGGATTAATCCAGGTTAAACTCCGTAATCGACAATCCAGGTCTTGAGCCAGGTTGTTGCTCGAGTTGGGTATTACAAGTAAAGTCTTGCTGCCTATGATATCTTAGCCGACTGGGCTTTGCCTAAAAAAACACACACGGACATTCCACACATCAGCCCTTTTTCTTGGTGCTTTGTCCCACCAACTTCACTTCACTTTCATCTCAGCCAGCCAGCAACATCTCTCCTCGCTTTCAAATCAAAAACTCTAAAAACCAACTAAAACCCTTTACTTTACCGGAATCCAGTCTTCAAATCTAGGGCTTCCACTTCTATTTCCAATCCCAAAAGGCTTCTATTGCTATGTAACGCTTCATTTCACCGGTGAGTTCATCAAAATTTTGTCTTTTTCACTCTTTTGTTTCCTTCCCTTCAGTGCATATCATTATCATTTCTTTGTGATCTCTTAGTCTAATTTTGTTTGAATTTGATTATTTTATCACTGCTAATGCTGTTCATATTAGTCTTGGAAAAATTAAATGAAAAAATATACTTTCCTGGCTGTATGATATGTGGTATTGTTGGCTGTCTAACATGATTGCCTCTATCTGTTATATTCATTAGAAAGAAAGAATGAAGGTTATATTGCTTAATACTTCTTGAAAGATAAAGATGTTGATGTTATAAGGTGATTTGGTAAATGTTATATGTAGTTTTTTTTGTCAAACCACATTCTTGAAGTCATTGACACAAGGCCATTCTGGGGCAAATAATGTTACAAGGGGCTCCATTTTTTTGTTGTTGTTGTTGATGTTGTTGAATTCTGAAGCTTCTTTTACAGTAAAAAAGACTTAATTGTTAAGAGGAACATGTCTCTATTTGGATTTTCTTGGGGCTGTATTTCAAATTCTTATTTTGACTTGATTTCCTATCTTCAGTGAGTTTTTTATCGGATCTGTTTTTTAATTATGATCCTACTTTTCCTTCTCTTTTCCTTGTTGGAGTGAAACTAATTTTGAAGTTTTTTCTGTAGGAGTATATAATGGATAAACAATCTGTTCATGGGTTTGATTCCAATGAAAGTGACCTGGATTTGCAAGGTGAAGCCTATGAATGTGGAAGGATAGAAGATGAGCTTCAAAATAACTTGGATTTCTGTGTAGATGAAGATGACAAAACATCTGTGCAATGTATTGAACTAGCTGTAAACGCTGAAGGTTTAGAACCATGTGTGGGTATGGAATTCAACTCAAGAGATGAGGCCAGAGAATTTTACATTTCCTATGGCAGATGCACTGGTTTTACTGTACGAATACACCATAACCGACGCTCTCGGGTTAACAATCAGGTTATTGGTCAAGATTTTGTTTGTTCCAAAGAAGGATTTCGGGCCAAAAAGTATGTACATAGGAAAGACAGAATTCTTCCCCCACCACCAATCACTCGGGAGGGCTGTGGAGCAATGATAAGGTTAGCCTTGAAAGGAGGAAAGTGGGTTGTCACCAAATTTGTCAAGGAGCACACTCATAAACTAATGAGTCCCAGTAAAGTTCCATGGCGAGGATCTGGGAAGCAATTAATCAGTGAGGTATGTTTGAGGTTGAAAATGGCATCTAAAAGTTCAAACGTTAATTCACTGGATGGGCTGATCCTTCTTTTTAATTAGCGTTGTGGGATTATCACTAGACAATAATGGCTGGGAATGTTAAACCAGATCCTGCCGAGCTTGAACCACTAGTTCCTATATGCACTACACTAATGTCTTGTTAATGGTCTACTTGATATGGATCTGAATAATTTGTACCTATTTACTACCATAAACTTGACTTTCCCCCAAGTAATTAAGTTGGCCGTAGTCAGTCACTGCACTATAGGGAAGGAGCCGGGAAGCTCAACTTTCCCGCTAGATGCCTTATGAACATTGCCGTAGCCATAAGCAGAGAATATTGACCATATAATCTAGATTGAGTGCTGTAAATATGGTACCTCCATTGTTCACAGTTTCCTTTCTATTTCATGCTCTCAATCAATTGTCATGAAGTTATTGTGATTTCCTTAATATTCATTCTTTTTATTTTTTTGTAGGATGAGAAGGATAAAAGAATCCGTGAACTATCACTCGAGTTGTATAATGAGAGACAAAAATGTAAACGACGGTGTGCTGTATATGAAGAACAGTTAAATATGATTCTACAAGATTTGGAAAAACACACAGAACATGTCTCTAAAAAAGTTGATGATGTTGTCAAGAGCATTAGAGAAATTGAGGAGCAACATTCAGATGACACCAGCAGCGAATGAAGTCATTCATGATTTGACCTCTCATTTCCTGTGTTTCTGAGGATGGATGATTTTTAGGAGTCAAATGCCAACTTATCACATAAGCAGTTTGTTTGGATAATCATTAAGATTGATAACTTTATGATTGATTAGGTCAATTATCTTTTTTCTTAGAATATCAATGGCTGCTCTCTCAATTTAGCTTGGTGTAACATATTGCCATTGTTTTTTTTTTTTCTCATTAAGTTTATGCAATTGTTGTTTGAATATCAGATTCAAAATTTTAGTTTCTTTGATAAATGTCAGGGACATTGTGTATTTTCCTTTTGGAGGTTAATTGCTGGCTTAGCAATAAGATTGGAGAATTTTTTTGCCATGATACTCATTGATCTGTTATTTTTCTGTGTGATTATGTTATTGCTCTTTTGCAGTTAAATCAGGCTGGGCTCAGCGGTTTGACATGAGAAATGATATAGAGCAAGCTCCATGTTATGTTTACGTTTTTAACGAAGATAAAACTCGGTTGATGCGGTCAAGTTGATCAAGTCAACATAGATTTAAAAAAAAAAAAAAGAACAAAAAATTCCTGTTGTTCTCCCCCAAGAAGCACCAGAGCTAGGAATATATACCTTGGAGGGGTAACATAAACATTCTAGGAGTTAACTTGAAGATAAGTTAAGATAAACAAGGATCAAAGAAAAATTAAGTCATTTCCAACATCAAAGCATCAAATAATAATTTTATTTAAAAAGAAAAGAAAAGAAAAGAGCATAAAATAACAAGAACATAGATTTAGACTTATTTATAACAATTTATATAACCTAGATTGATTGCAACAATTTTTCTGGAATAATAGAAACTCACAAACAAAAAAAAAACCAAAGAGATTATTATTTTCAGTCCTTCAAAGATTTTTAAGAAAAAAAAAATTACTATAACATTGTTTTTTTATTTTTTTATTTTCTAATTTTAAAGTTTTAATTTGGTAGTAATAAAAAAAAGGCCATATTTGTGATGTCGAAAAGAAAGACCTCTCTCCTCTCCATGGCTTCAAGTCATTGGTGACTTGACTTCATCCACTTTTAAGGGGGGGGAAATAATTCCAAAACAAATATTTGATTGCGAGAAATGAGTGAATATGCTTCAATTTTCTTAACAACGTCACCAGAGAAGGGATCACTGCAACTCATTGAACAAATCCCAAGCAAAAAAATAAATTAATTAAATCACCATGTGCTTCTCTGTCCCTGATTACTGACCGTTTGATTTAATTAGCCTTGAAATCCACAGTCGATCTCTCTTTCTAGTTTCTAACAAGACACAGAGCCCAGTGAACTTAACTTGTCTCAAAGTCTTGCAAGAGAAACAGGAGTTAGAAAAGTAAGCTCCTTTTCACTTAAACTTTTCATTTTATTTTTATTAATTATAATCTGTCTATGCATATTGCTTTTAATGTTTTTTATTGTGAAATGGGTTTGCTTTAAATTGTCGAGAAAGTGAAGAATTGATGTCAAACTTGGTGTGAAAGGAATGAAGATGAAGCAAAATGTTTGACTTTTATAGTCTTCGTAGGATAAGTTCTTTTCTTATTATGTTTTAGATTGTTCGATCGCTGGGAAAGTGAGGGAAAGAGTTTGGAAAAGAAAGTTTTGTGTGTAGTGTTAGTTATGTGGTATGGTGGTATGCTTGATTTTTAAGAAAATGGGAAAACTTTGCGTCAGCTCTTACTAATGATTCTTGAAAGGAAAAGACTTTCCTTTCTTTAATTCAAAATTTTTTACTTGGAAAAGAAAGTTGTAAATGAGTCCATTGATTTATTTGTTTGGTTGTTTAGGAAAGTGAGATTGGAATAGTTTTCTATCGATGTTTTGTTGTTTTGTTTTGGCTTCGTTTGAGAATGAGAGTATTACCTAGCTATTGTCAAAGAACTGAAGAACTGAAAGCGTCGTTTTTAAGTCCCTAATTCATTTGCTTTTACTATTCAAGATGAAAATCGTTGCCTGGAAATGTGTTACTTGAAGTGCCTGCTGATGTAACTGAAAAATATGAATACTTAAGCCTTCTGTGTTCTTGGGAATGTGTTTGTCAGCCTGAAATCTTATTGTGCTGGCTTTGTCACTGCAATGAAGCGATCAATATGCATAGCACCTAAATCAATATCTCGAGGCCAGGAGTAGCACTGGATCTCATTTCATTAGGGATCGTTGGATAGAATTCTCATGCTGGGAACATAATGACCAGCACTACTGATGGGCCAAGTTTTCTGGATATTGATGAAGGTTCAGATGAGGAAATGTTTGAAAGTTTTGGTGAACATGAAGCTTCACAAGATGGGTTGTTGCAGCAATGCATTTCACAGCGTGTTGTGGATAATGGCATGATTTTGACAGAATCATCTATGGAAAATTTAAGTGTGGATGGTTTAGAACCGTATACTGGGATGACTTTTCCATCTTTAGATGATGCAAGAGATTTCTATTATGAATATGCCAAGAGAACAGGTTTCACTATTCGAACAAATCGGATCAGACATTCACTAAAGAGCATGGCAGTTATAGGACGTGACTTTGTTTGCTCAAGAGAAGGCTTTCGTGCTGCAAAGCACTCACTGAGAAAAGACAGAGTTCTTCCTCCACGTCCAGTTACAAGAGAAGGCTGCAAAGCCATGATAAGACTGGCAGCAAGGGATGGAGGGAAATGGGTAGTTACCAAATTTGTGCAAGAGCACAATCACAAGCTAATGACTCACTGTAAATTTCTTGGAGAATTGCCAACTATCAATATACTTAGCGAGGTATGTCTGAGATATCACTTGCAATTTACATTTCTGTTATTATAGATCAAAGTGGCAATTGTTAGAAATTAGAATATCCTTAATTAGCTATCGACCCATGTCTTGATGTTCAACATTACGGACTTTTAAGGTGTCTAAATTTGACGTTCATTTTTAACAGCCTTTATATGCGCACTCATCATTGTTACTCGGGTTCCTTTGAAAATTCTCTTAGCAAAATTTCTAATATCACACCCTCCACCAGCACTGTTTGCTTACAATACCATGGATTTGTGGATGTTTGAATCTTTCATTGAATTTCTCTATCGGAATATTTGTTCCTGAAACCTCATCTCTCTCTTGTCAGTACGCTGAATCAAATCCAAACATGTCTTCTCTAGTTAAATCCGTAAATTAATGCATCTTTAGAATTTCATAATTATGATCTGAAAGTAATTGCATCGGCAAGCCATCCATACTTGGATGGAAAATGAATACATTATTGTGACACTTTTGTTCCATGGCTATTGCCGGATTTGTTGTTTTTGTAACCCTTACACTCAAGTCCTGAGATGTTCTTGGTCACATTTTTCCATGTTTTCAGCTATTCTGTGTCTGTTGCATACTCAAGTTAGGATAACAGCTAAGATACTAAAATTGCATTGTTGAAAAACCAGTTGCCTGCCTTTGGAAACATATAGTTTAAAATCCATGCCTTTTGCCAAGTTGGTGGCTAGAGTGGTACTTCTCTGCTTTGCAAATGGCAGGTCTATGATTTGAACCCAAGTCATAGGTAGGGAGGATGCCTACCCAATGGATGAAACTTAAAGATATGTTGCGAGGAAAGTGTGTTGAAACCTACTGAAAGGATACATATAGCACAATTCCTCATCTTGAAGGCTCCAAGATTGAACAATGTGACATTGTAGCATGCCATACAGGAAATGATAGCTTGTGTCATTTTGAAGTAAAACCAAAGGAAAAGGCTAGACCCTTGTGCATAGGCTGTGAAATTGTATTTATGATGAGATTCCAGTACTGGATTCTTCTAACATTTCTAATACTTCCAAGATCTTCCGTCTTTTCATTTGCCCAACCTTGATATACTCAACCATGTTTGCAGGAGGAAAAGGATAAGAAGATTCAGGACTTGTATGGTGAGCTTCAGCGTGAAAGAGAACGATCTGCAGCATTCCAACAACAGTTATGCATGATTCTCAAAGATCTCAAGGAACACGAGGAATTCGTGTCTTTAAGAGTTGAAGATATAATCAAGACTCTGAAGGAAATTGAACTTGGTGTTTTATAGTTTTGAACGTGGATAAACTGCAATTTTTCAAACGGATGCCAAACTAGAACATAGAGCTCACTTCTCTGGATTTCCACTCAAGGCTGAATTATCAGTACCATACTACCATTGACATGAAACTTTTCTAGAGAGCACTGAATAGAATGTATACAAGTATTAATTTCTTTGGTGTCCATGCAATGACTGTAGTTCATAATCCAAGTGGAGGATGATGTCTTATCTTCTTCATTTTGGAAATGACATTCTGAGCTTTCCTCTGATCTGACATGCAAGGGAACCAGATGCTTCATCTCTCCTTACTCAGATATGAAATTTTATTTGCAAGACCAGTTAATTGTTCTTGGATTCTGTTACAACTTTCAACCATGAAACATGCTTTTCTTTTCCGTTTGCCAGTTGTAGCCTTTTTGGGCACAAAGTGTAATTCCATTGTAAGCCAACAATGTCTAAAAGAGACATTACAGTCATTTTAGTAGTTGTTGAACGGTTTCTTTAGGTTTTATGTTGCTTTTTCACCTGATTTTAGGAAAGTCGATGTTTAGTTGGTTTCTTTGACTGCAGTGGCAAATATAGCTCGTCATTTTTGGTGTTTGCCATTAAAGATCTTTCACTCAGACAACATCTAATTTTCAGGTAACCAAAGCGGAAGCAAACCTGCAAGCCCATTTACTCATTTTACTGCAAATAATCCTCAAGATGAGCAATTTGTCTGCAGAGGAAACTTGACTCAAGTTGAGGATGTGCTGCAAAGCTCATTGATTATCAGAAGAGAATATATAAGTGTTTTTTTTGGAGAAACTCTACGTGAAAATTCTAGTTTGCAACAGTCAAATAGCGGTGACCTACAAAAATAACACAACATAAAACAATGATACGAAGAAACAAAAGTAACCCCCACCAAGCCAATCAGAAAAAATTGAAGAACTTAAAGCCCAATACAAACTACCCACTCTAGAGTTCCAAACCCCCCACCAGGCACCCACCTACCCCCGAGTTGATAACCAGTGACTCTGGTGATTTTGCTTTGCCTGCCGCTGACACGTGTCAACAATCGACTGACTGTAACCATGGCATAACTGGATCAACACGGTACACGTGTACCATTGATTTAACCAATGGCAAGCATAAGCACTTGGCGAAGCTGATCCTGTGTGATGATGCCCGCTGTTTCTTGATGTTCAAAATATTTACACCCAATAATAAAGATTAGTGGACTTAGAGCACATGATTAACCCACAGCACTAAAACCACCGCCCTTCATCATCTTCTGAAACTCTCTGTAATCCACCATTCCATCAC